AACAGTGGAATCACTTCATTGATGCACCATTTGATTAAACCAGGCTTAGGTCTCAAATGCTCAATGGATTCTTGTTTGTAAAGACTTGATGCTTTCATATCCGATGCTGTTATGTCTCTAGTACCAATTTCCATATTCATTCAGCTCACTTCTCTATAGTCCACATTCTAATTATTGTCAGTGTTGTTGGCAACGTCTAATGAGGGATGAAGGAATGCTTCTGAGTTCCTAGGTCTGGCTGTTGTGCCCTGGAGACATGAACTCCACATTTGGACAACACCCAAACACACCCCAGCCCCTTATCGTGCTCTAGTTTGCATAGAAAAGAAGCCCAGCACCCCAGACAAGTCCTGACCATTTCCCAATCTCAGCAAATGGAGGAGAAGGGAATTAAGTCACACCACACTGGGCACCTTTAAGTCAGATTGGGTCCAAGCTTTGTGCACAGAGAAAACATAAAACATCTCTCAGAGTCAGCATCTGGGGCTTTTGAAACCCGTGTATCCTTGGGATATATATATTTTATATATACACACCTCCTTGAAAAGCAATTCTGCCAAAAGAATCAAAGGCCCTGCTTTATTCAGCACTATGGATACCAGATCAGCAAACACAGATAATGACCCAGTTCTTACTTGGTTCTCCTGCAATCACACAAGCCAAGGAGCTGTTTCTGTTTACAGTGGGACCTGTTGTTTACACACTGGGATAAGGACTATACAAGAACATACAGACAGGCTGAAAAACATCTGAGTTCATTTCAAACACATCTATATTTGAAAGCTTGCTGCAACTGAGGATTATTTATAGTGCTTATAAACCACAGCCATGGAGCAGGACTGCACCAGGCTACGTAGTGTAAACACACAGACTAAAGTTACAACTCCTGTAACAAGGATTGGGAGGGATTTTACCACACGGGATTTGAAGAACACAACTCAAGAACAGACTATGGTAGATCAAATATTGAGTAGAAGTTCTGTTGTCAGCATATATCTTTGCTTCCAGCTTAGCTAGAGAAGATTGCCCTGGCAGAATTGATTTCATTTTCTACTCAAAAACCATGATAATCCTACACACACCTTGTTATTGGCACTTCTGGGTGGACACTTTCAAAAGTAATAAGCTTTTTGCTTCAGAATTAAGGCAAGAAAATTGATTCTATATTTTTTGACACTTACTGCAGGTAATTTAAACCTAGGGATGGAGTCCTCTGGAGGTTCAAGTATCTTGTCTGTTTATGAATGATTGAATCAGATTTAACAGACTCAAAAATCTACCATTTCAGAAATCAGACTATGAGAATTTCTTTCTTTAAAAAAAGTCTTGTTCTTTCTGCATCACTAAATTAACATTTTTAGAAAGAAACAGAAATGGAAGTGAACTGGAAAGGTTAAATTCAGTAATAAAATTTCTGAGCTACAGCTTCAGAAATGACATAGAATTTACATCTGGCCCATATTCCTTTCAAATTTTGGAACCAGGATTGAAATTCCCATTTCAGATATGGAGGACCAGAAATCATCTGATTTATGTAAACAATCTGCTTGGCTTAAAATTATGTTTTCTGCATGTAGGAAAAATATGACTGAAAAAGTTTTGTACATTAACATTTTACAGGGCACCAGGAACTGAAAAGTTGCACTGTAAATTTTTAGTACCTCTGAAAATCTACCTCAGAGGTTGAACCCACATGACATTAGAATGATAGCTGGTGAAAAATAAATTACTTAAATGTTGTGATTCATTCAAGTTTGCAAGAATAAACCAGACATTATTTGGTGTATTTCCCACATACAGCCTCCTCCCCTCATAGCAATCCTTCCAGCATTTTTCTTTATACAGTATTTTACTGGGGGGGAGTAGTTATGAGGTGTCTATCGATAGTAGGTTAAGTAATAAAACCTAAAACCACTCCAGATATTCCCAGATATCTCCAGGAGTTACATTCCTCAAATGACTGGAGGATGATGCATTAATATAATTACACTAAATTACATCTACACAGCTTCTTTGATCTCATGTATTCCCAAAGCAAATGACAAGTTGAATGAATATTCCACTCTCACTGCTCACAAACCATTTAACAATAGGTTACACACATTTTGTCAGGTGATTCCTGTTCCCTGACTCGTGACCATGGATACCCCTATCAGAGGCATTCATCTCATCCATCTGAAAATGATCTCAGGCATGTAAGAGGCACTAAATCACACTTATTTAAATTAAAGCAGGCACTCACACAACTCCTGTTGCTCTCTTGCACATGATTCATATTAGCACTCAAAGAAGAATGACAAGAATAGATCATAGAACAATCACAGAATTATGATGACCTAAAATACAGCTTTTCAACCATCAAGCTTCAGCTTCAGATGCTAAAAGAATTAAGCTTAAAAATGGGAAGAATAAAACAACTCCATGCCTCCAGAAGGCAGAGTCTTGAGCAAAGAGAAAGGCTCAAGCCCAAGGGTTTAAAACTGCTTTTTATGGCAGCCTGACAGGCTGAAAGGAATATCTTTTCCTTACTTTTTCATACTTCCTCAGTTCTTCCCCTGTGAAGTTGGATGGCAGCTGCAAAGTTCCTAACAGTATTTGATTTAAGAAAGCAAAAGTGACTAGACAGATGTTTATGCAATCTCTAATGTAGGGCTTGAAAAGAAAATGGTTGTTGGAGGCTGGTTGTAAATAGTTACATGATCCCCGTGCATTTCATCAGTGCACATGTTCTGGATCTCTAGTGCCCCCAATCTTACTGCAAAAGTGACTCCAAAACTTGCTGGAGTCTGAATACAGCTGAGCAGACCAGAGCCATAAATCATTTGACTGCATGCTTTGCCCTTAAAATCGTAGGGCACAAAAGAAATTACCTTGTCAAAGGCTCTTAGAAAACAAAGCACACTTTTAAAGACTGCATCCTTATGTGCTTCACATAAAGTTCAAACTAATGGCAACAGCCCACAGGCATTAAGAGAAATAACAGCAATCAATGCTATTTTTAAAGGGAAGAGTGGGGGCGAGGGGTTAACATATGTGGAATTAGCTCTGGGCAAAATGAGAAGCCATTGCATCTAAAATCAAATGCATTCTCTGAAATAGACACCAGGGACCAAATTCCCATGCAGACTCCTGCAGTCCAAGAGTTTCAGCAGAATTTGGCCTTCCTCTTAACTTAGCTTCATTAGGTCATTTCATGCCATCAGTTTTTATGTTGGACGCCCTACGTACTGCACATCAGTTGTTGGCACTATGTAAACAATTTTCCAAATTGGAGGGGGAGGAAAGGGCTGTGTGTGTAAAAGGGAGAGGAATTTTTGCCCATTTAGAATAAAAGTAATTTCTAAGAAGAGTTCGAGGTGGAAAGTGGTATTTGTACCCCTTCTACCAGATGTCACCAATGACAACAAGAGCCAGTATTAAATATCTCTCCATCAAATTCTTCTTGAAATTTTTCAGTGCCAGCTGGCCAAGAATCCATTCTGAAAACAGGGAAAGCTGAAATCTTCCACAGCCATTCTTAACCAACAAAAGAATTATCTTCTCTGCAAAACAATTTTCTGTGGAGGACAGACTTGAGAATTTTTAATAAGAAAAAAAAGCTTGCAGCAGTAATTTTTTTTAATGTTTATGTACCGCAAATGAAATGGCACCTCATCCCCAGAGAGGATCTTTTGTTGCCTTTTGATCAGCTTCTGTCAGTGCTGGATGTACTAAGGCCCAGTAGGTACCCTCCATTTGTTACTTTTCTGTCTGGCACCCTGATTTATTAGTGACTGGCTTCAGTGACTGGTTAAGTTTGTCTTCCATCTTAGAGGGAAATGCTTTGGAGAAAAGATGCCTTGATGCTCTCTCTGACATGAAGACACCGTCACCTCTCACTGTGCCACCACCTCAAGCTGTGATGCCAATTGCTCTGTCATCCCTTGCCATCCCTTAATCCTGGCCATAATGACACCTTGTGCTGTCATCCATATGACTTGTCTTTCACTGTTCTGCTACCTCAAGACACAAGTGAGATCCAAGCTGACAGGCTCCTCACCCAGCTAGGCTACAACATTCGTGGAAGAAAATTGAGACGACCAAATAATATCCATGAAAAAAGTAACTAGCACAAAGGAACACTGGGAAACTGCACTGGCCAAACAATTCTAGAAAATAATCACTTCTCTGAAAGGGACTCTAGACAGGCTGAAAACTGAAAAGACACTCTTCAGATACTGTTATAGCGATGATGTTGCTATTGAAATTTTTCTCTCTATTCTGAAAGCAAAGATCTTTCATGTAGGGCTCAGGGACTTTTGTCTCAGAGACAGCTGGGCAGATCACAACCCCTTTGCTTCATACATACCCAACTAAACAGGTTGTCAGAATCTTGCAGAATTGTAAGATTTTCTCTGGAAACAGAGCAGATGAAATACCCTCCCCCAACCAACTGTTCTGATGGATTGACATAATATTATTTTACCTCCTATAGCAACAAATTCACTGTGTGGTTTTTTTTCCAAACAACAACAGATCAGATATTCTGGAGATAACATGGCTATTATTTCCCCTAATTGGTTTGCTATGCAAACAATACCTGAACAGTTAAAAGGATACTTTTAATTTTTTTCTTTTGTTTAGTGCTCACAGGATGAAACTCTATCACAGAGAGTGTCTACAGGTAAGATAACAAGTTATTGCTTTTAAACAGTCATTAAAGACAAAGACATTTCTTCAGAAGTTAGTGTGCTTCATTTCATCTGACTCTTCAGATCAAGCATATCAGATAGTGGGGACTTTTGTCTTGCCCTACATCACATGAAGAAGCTGGTGTTTTCTGCTTCAATCAGAGGAAATTTGACATGACTCTGTTCTTTTTGCCTATCTGGCCACTTATCTTGTTTCGTTTGCAAATATCATATGTATTCTCTTGAGATAAAAATAGTGCAAGATGATTAGTTAGGCAAGTTCATTTGACACCATTCCCCCTTCGTGACGCTGAAATCTAAAATCTGTATATGGTATACAACTTAAAGTATATATATGCAAGCTCAGCTCTGCTGGAGACACACTGCAAGTACCTTCCTCCCAACCTGACTGCTTCCTTACCCAGCCAAGAAGACCACAAAGGTAAGCTGATTAGATCTTCTGCTTTCAAAGAAACACAGAAGCAAAATGCTCCCTGAAGGGAAAGCAGTTAAAGTATCTATTCTTATTTCAGCTTCCAGGATGTTGTATCTTTACAAGCTAACATAGAATAGAATCAGAATTTGGATCAGAGGATGGAACAGACAGGAATGATGTCCCTTGTCAAAAATGCTGTGATTTTTAGGTTTTCCTTCAACTCTTCCCCTTTTTAATCCTGTCAGCAGTGAGAATTAGGTGAACGGATGAGCTCAAAGTTACATTGCCTAATGCTGAGAGGGGAAAGTATTTTGCAGAAGAACCCACTGGGACAAAATAATTCAGTAGTAAAAGAAAAGTAACCCAGTTGCCTGAGCTGGGGAAGGATCCATTGCCATCAGTGGGAATGTGTGCCATCACTTTCTTAACCATTTCAGAGATATTCAGAAAGGAACTAAAATGATTGACAATTTCTTCTGCTGCAAACCAACAGGTACAGAGGCAACCATTTCATATTTTAGAGGAAGTTTAAACCTGTGTTTAGATCTCAAACCAGTGCACAGACTATAAATGGGTATCACTAGTTGATTCCTTCTCAGTCCGTGCTTAGACAGGAAGAATGATGTTGCTGAAGACCAGTTAGGGACTAATGAAAATATATTTCTATTCTCTCCTGGCTTTCAAGAATAACTTTTCTATGCCTTAGTCCCCTTCCTTCACTAACATGAATTAAGAGTAACATTGCAAGTTTTAAACTGTAATCTGTCTGCACTGGTATGTGCAGTTTACCAAACTGTAACTGCATCAATTCACTAAAAATTGATTAGAAATTCAGGCATTATGGCATTTTGTTAAGTGATACACATTGCACCGGCAAACTATTGCAGCTGTTGGTGGCTGAATGGGACAGAGTATTTTTCTCACATGAAAAGCCACTGTGTCAGAAGAAAACACCTCCTCCACTCTACTAAGAATGAATATTAAGTCATGATACTTCTGTTCTAAAGACAGCAATCTACTGAAATGCCAAAATCTGGGCAAAAATGGGGTTTATTATAACTTATATGGAATATAAAAAGAAATGGACCTCAGAAAATACTGACAAAAACTTTTTTACAAAGCTCTCATGAAATGTAGTATTTCATTGATGCAGTAGCCCAGCAAGACACATTTATCATTGCAACTAAACAGGAGAGTAACTTACTCTCCAAATTTACATGAGTAAAATTACTTTTACTAATTCTACACTAATATTTTCATTCTTTGTGAAGGTCACTACATGTATTGATAATAACACTAGATTTTTCATATTCCAATTACTCCAGATACAGTTCTAGGGGACATACCAGCCTTATCTCTTATGTGTGCTGTAAATACATTCTGGGTTTTACTGAGTAATAATCCACCTCCAGGAAAACCCACAAAGCCATGAAGATGTGTGGTGCTGGACAGCCTGGATGTGCTGTCCCAGTGCAGCAGATCCTCCCGAAGCCCCACGCTCCCGCGTGCAGAATTCCTCCCTCATTCCCAGCTTTCAGTGCAAGCACCTGCTCCAGACATCTGTTACAGCGTGCTCCACTTGCCATCAGATGAATAATGTCTCCCCTATCACACACTGTCACTGCAGAACTTCAAATAGAGCCATGAAAGTAGGAGAGAAGTCATTTTAATGACTAAGTAGCTCACATTTAATTTATTTTACAGTTCAACAATGGCCATCACTGACATCCTCTCTGCTAAAGATATTGAATCTGCTCTCTCCAGCTGCCAGGGTAAGGAATGGTCTCTCTGCAGACAGAAGATGCATATCATTTTTATGTCTTAAGATGACATGCCTATCATTTTCCCCTCAGATTCCTTCCCTGTGAGATCTCTTTCTAAGCTGCATTACACTATAGTCCCTTAAATTCAAAAGGTCTCACAAGTGGTGAACAGCAATTAAATGACCACCATTTCAGTTAGGGCTGGCTTAACACTAAGCTGTCAGTGTCTAAACCTGTTAAAGACTTAAATTTAAAGTTGGCCTTGTCCTTCAAAATTTCAGAAAAAGCCTCAGCTGGCAGAATGAGAGTCATTTGTGAAGCAAGTATCAGTCTCACTTCTCTTAAGAACTGCTCAGTAAGATCAAGCCAATTTTCCAAATCCTCAAAGATCTGATTTGTCTGTGAATTACTTACTCTTCTATCAAATTCTTCACCTAAGTAAGGACTCTGTGAAAATTAATGAAGAATTACAGAGTTGTTTGTAAGTCACAGCAGCACCTTCTCAATATTTATTATTAATTGCATGTGACACATTGCATAAATCCTGATTTAGCAGAATGTGCATTGTAGCAGAAAACTTCAAACTGGCTGAAAGGAAACATGACCAAAGGCACAGAGTGATTAAAAAGGGAAATTATCATCCACTGTATCTGCTCTTTTCCTACACCAGGGAACAAGAGAAAGAGGGCAGGCAGATGCTTAAAAAAAGACATACATATTCACAAGGAATACACACAGTAGTAGCAACTTCAAAGAAGAATATTTAACAACTTCTGTTTCTTCCAGCTGATGATTCCTTCAACTACAAGTCTTTCTTCTCCATGGTTGGTTTAACCAGCAAAACTCCTGATCAGATAAAGAAAGTTTTTGGAATCCTTGATCAGGACAAGAGTGGTTTCATTGAAGAAGAGGAGCTGCAGTAAGTACTGTTCAGCTGCTCTGTTTCTTTAAACAACAAACAAAAACCTTAGAACTTGCTTGGTGTCCTTGAAGAAACCCTTGATGTTATTTTAAAAATAAAACACAAATTCTTGTCGTTTCTGGAATCTGTGTGGATTCCCTCAGATAACAAGAGCAGACATTACCTTCTGGGCCGTTTTAGAGAGCAAAACTCAAGCACAGCACCCTGTTATATTTCAGGCTGTTCCTGAAGAATTTCTCCTCAAACGCCAGAGCCCTCACCTCAGCAGAGACCAAGGCTTTCCTGGCTGCAGGAGACACTGATGGTGATGGCAAAATTGGAGTGGAAGGTAAGACTTTGGGAAATTGATAAACTTTGTGGTTTAAAATGCACACATTTCAGGCTCCATTTAAACTGGGCCATGAAGAATACACATGAGTACTTTGGCCTGATACTTTCTGCCACAATTTTTGTATGAGCAAATACTCTTTTATTTTCATAGCTTTATTCCCGTTTGATCTCTGTTGTAGCAACAGAATATTTAGGCCCAGTGTAGAGTCTGGTCTACCAATCAATGATAACAGCTTTGGGGTTAATCCTGCAGTGTTTCTGATCCATAGACTCAATGTGCCAGATTCTTAAAAGATTCAGAACACCTGAATGTCTCAGAATTTCTATTTCAGCAGTGGATGTTCTGCACTTCTGGCCGTACAACATTTCCATTTTTAAACACATCTCTGCCTAAAGAAATTTATTTCTTTGTCTCCTATCAAACACTGGCCACTATTACTGGGTGCTTAATTCACTAATGTAAAATATGACTGGCATTGTTTCTCAAGGCTGCAACTGCAGCAGTGCAGCACAGGAGTCTGTGCTGGAAAATTATCTGATAAGTTATGATCTGATTATCTGCCCACATTTCACTGGGCAGTCCTTTGAGAAACTCAATCAAATTCCTGAAGAAAACCTCACAGGGATGATGTGAACTAGTCAGGATATTTCTTTTAGAAACTGCAGCACAGAAAAATAGGACATTATGCATCATGTATTAGAGATGAAGTCACTGAAAACAGGGCTGTCTCAGCTGAACTAGGACAGGTGGCAAAAACTCCAACAGACACACGTGCTAATCTTAGCCAGATTTGGGAGGAGAGAGAGATACACTGTTGGAGGAATTTGCTTTAGCAGCAGCTTTAGCAGCTTCTGTTTATGAGCCCCAAATAGGGCATTGTATTTTGCAGATCTTGGCCCTTAACCATTGAATCTCCCATTCTGGAATTACTTCACTACAGATATTTTCTATTTGGAATAACGAAACAAAAAAAATGTTGCTGAGAGCTACAGGCTCTTCTTCCTTGGCTATTATCAGAGTTTGTAAAGGGGTAAAGATAGTTTACCTTTAAGTCAGGATTTCCCACAAATACAAATTTACAGACACACTCCTCCTCTCTGCTCTTACTCTTTTTAAGGAGTGAAAAATCTGTTACGCCCCCAGAATCTCAGTTTAGCAGTAGCTTGTGCAGTGTTATAATAACTTTGGGAGCCCTCCATGCCTAGGAGTTTTAGTCATTTTTATCTATCTTTTTAAAGATGTAATAAAACTACTTTCAACGAGTTTTATTCCCTGCTTTTCTCACTTTCTTCCTTGACAGAATTCCAGTCTCTGGTGAAGGCATAAACAGCAGTAGACCAAAGGCAACCTTGGACTGCCTCTGCCAATTACCTCGCCCAGCAAGCACCTCGCACTCAGCATGTGTTTGTACATTTTTATATTGTTTCAGGCATTAACAGTTCCCCACACATGAAGTTCACACACCTGATTGCTGAGAAACCTTGCAATGTTTTGGTCACATGGCATTGTTACATTTCCATTGTAAAGAAGGCACTTTGTGATTTTCCACCACTGATAATGTTGATATTGTGGCTGGGAGAGGGGAGAAAACAATTTAAAAATCAACTAAACAAAAAGACCCTTGGGAGAAAAAGCTGCTTAAAAATTTTGTTTAGGTTCTCCATCCTCATACTTGAGCATGCTTACTCACCAGACTCAGTTTTGATGATCTTAAACCATATTGTATCTTCTCAGGCTTAATTGTACTGATTTAATTGAGGTTTATTTCTGATTAATTCTCTGATACTTGAGGAAAAACAATGCTGAAGAGATAGCTAAAAATAATTCATATTAAGTCCCAACCCTGAGAATGTGAGAAAAAAATTAAGACATTTAAGAGGAGTTCACACCTGGCTCAAAGCACAGAACAAGTTTATGGGTAATTTTCCAAAATAAAGTAGTAGACCACAGTGTAATCATATTGCCAGAACGTGTTTATGGCCTAAAATGTGTCTCTCCCTTAAGAAGATTTATCTTTCATGAAATCTAAGGCAGCTGTGAGACAGAGGAGAAGGGTCTAATCCTACTCTGACACTGTCACAAGTCATGGTCCCCTTACAACCTGGGCCACAGGCCTGGAGGTTTTTCCATGAATCATGAGCCTGTTGCTTATTGTCTCTTAACATGTACAAAACAATAATATTTGCCTATTCTGTGAATTTCTGTGTTTTCTACAGATGAAACTACAGCCAATCTTGCTGTTTGATTACCCTAAAGCTCTTACATTGTTAAATAATGGCCATTACTCAAGTCTTTCATTTATTATATGAATTATTATCTATATGTTCCATAATAGCAGCAGTTTTCTTCAATATGAAAACTAAGAACAAGTCTTCCCTTTGAGATGTGTCTTAAAGGACTTAGAGTTGATTATAGCATTGTCTTCATTAATGGACAAAGTAAATAATATTCATGGCTAAATGCAGACATCAGCAGGCTGAGTAGATGTTGTGCATCTCTGGCTGAGTGTGTCAGAAATTTCCCCACCCTGATTTAGCTGTTTCCTTCCCCATGTCCCATGCTGTGGCTCCAGCTCACAAGCTGACTGTAGTTTTATTACTCTTCACTAAAACTGAATGATAATTATGATTTGGCAGCTGTTTTGAAGAAGAGCAGAAACAAAGCCTTTGGAACTTTTATGTAACAGCCAGTGTTGGCATTTCCATGAATTGCAAGATGATTATGTGAGGCAAGCACAGCTCCCTCATTCCCAGGCATGGAAGAGAGCCGGTCGACCGATTTAAGATGTGCCGAATGCAAAAGAGGAATTCTAGCAATCAGACTCACTGAAGCCTTGGCAGAATTATAATGAATATAAATCCTAATTCTATCCCCACTGCCTTTGATGTTAAATCTGGGCTTAAATTATAGCTGCTGTTAATTGCAGCATTGAAATATTTTGCATAATGATGAGACCAGCTCCTTTTACCTTAATTATTTCCCCGTTGAAGAAAAAACCTGGGGCAATCTAGATCTGCAGCAATACCCAGATGTAATATATACATTGGCTCTTCACACTGCTGATCTCTAAACTATCCTGTCACTGGCTCACGAGCAGATGGCACACACAGCACCAGAAGTGACAGACCTGACACTGCATTCCTTGCACCTCTGAGACTCTCATGTGGAATGCAAGAAATGCAAGACTGCACAATGGCCCATCCTGTATTTCAGAGATGCTGAACAACTGCACATCACTGCCTTGTGCTGCCACAGGGGAATGAAGCACTCCCAAGAATCAGGAAATCCTTGTGTGTGCTGCAACTACACCTATGCTTATAAGAAAATCCATTCTTCTTAAATACTGGCAAGAAGATGTGTTTTAAATCTTATTAAAATCATCCAGCCATTTCATTCAAAGGAATTATAATAAAAATCCAAGAAGTCCCCAATTTAAAAAGAAGCCCATAGGCTTCAGCAAAAATACCACTACTCTCTATTAAGGTTTCTGTTGGCATTAGGATCCACATTTTAGATCCACATTTTAACCAAATTAGAAAAGAGCATTTTTCAACTAAAGGAAACAAATTCAAAAAATGTGACGTTTTCTGGCAAGGTTCATTTTAATTAACTTAAGTCAGTGGCAGCTTTCAGTTTTTTATGGAACATCATGGAGTGTTCTCTGAATTTGACAATGCAATCATGCTAGAGAAAAACTTCAGTTGCAGGATGTCCATGTGAATGCCAACTGAATTACCAAAGAGACACAGGGTTGGTACCACAATGTTACCATAATTAAGGTACAGAACCAGCGAGTAATTCCTGATGGAAAGGTCTGGAGGTCTCTGGAGGTTCTCTGAAGGTCTCTGGTCCAATCACTCCCTCAGAAGGGCAATTGCTCTAAGATGAGTTTGAGTATCACCAGGGAGAGAGGCTCTATAACCTCCCTGGTCAATCTGATAAATAAGGATTAAATCCTCTGCATCAAGCTGCTATGAATGAATTAAATAAATAAAACACTGCTGAGTACACAGTTAAAAACTAAAATTCTGTTAGAAATTGTTTATGCTACATCAAATCAGAAAGAATCTAACAACGCCTGGTATTTTCACATTGATCACCTGCTCTCAGGTTCAGAGTAAGACCATCCTACTCACTATAATAATACTCAGTATAAATCTGCTTCATAGCTCCCAGCATAAAGGAGATGTGGTTTGTCTGTTTTACCTTCACTTAAGACAATTAAAGAGCAACCCAAATTGTGAGTGGTAGATCTGAACTCCACTAGGACTGTGAGTTCTCAGACACTTCAGTTCCTTGCTCACCTTGTGGGAGCAGTCTAATTTCTAATCCTCCCTATACTTCTTATGAAATAAAGATGTGCTATGATCTCTTTAAGGAGGAACAAAACACAAAGAAATCTACAGTCCTACACAAGTCCCTGGAAAAAGGACACAGAGGGCCAGGGTCACGATCCCAAACCCACCCTAGTGCTCCAGCCACTGAATTCACCATCCCTCTTAAACCAAAATTTTGAGTTGCCTTTAAAGAGGAGCAGAACCATGCATGAGACAAAACCTCCTGGTGTTTAGTGGAAGCTGGCTGCCCCCTAACTTCATGTTCCTTTGGAAATCCCAGTCCAAAAGCCATTTGTAAACTTGAGATTCAATTTCAGCTCTCCAACTGCTTGAAATCTCAGTAGTCATCTTCTAACAAGTAGAGAGCACAGAAAGGGCAAGGGGATGTCAGAACATTCATTGCACACATAGACTGGTACAGTTTCTTCTTTGAGTTAGCAGCCAGCCCATGTGGAAAATCTTTGATGCAGCATCATCAGAGGTGCCTGGAACTCTTCACACAAACAGTGTGGGCAGAGAGGGCCAAGGCTGGATTAATTTCCTGGAATGAGTTACTGAAATAGACACATCTTGATTAAATCCCTGAACAGACACGTACCTAACATTTTCATGCTCAATTTTTCACATATTATAAAACATTTTAATAAGAGGATACCAGGGAGCATGACCTAAAGTGTTCACATTTTATGAAACCTAATTTCCCCATTAGTTTTGATCATAAGCACAGAAAGATGCCATTATATTGGTCTGGATTTTTTGGTACACTTTCTGCACAAATATCTATAGAGCACATCAGCAGCTGAGATATGGCTACTCCAGAACTCTTGATTTGTTTGTCATCATGTCCTACACTTGTGAAAACAAGAAAATCAGTCTTATATATCAAGCTTCAGAAGAGAAAAACAGATCCCACTCCATTTACAATAGAAAGAGAAGATACACTTGGACAATGCCTTTCCCTGCAGTTACCAATTATTGACCCTAAATTCAAAGGGGAACTTCTGTCCAAGTAGAATATACAAATATTTGACTCAACAGGAATCACATCAATTCCATCACAATGACATATTGATCAGCTGTATTTTCTAGACACTGACTTCCTGCTTCAACTCCCAGGCTTCCAGAACAAATTTATTTTATATTTGTAATGATATCCATAATGGACTGTAAAATTTAGCCAACATAAAAATAAACACAGTAAACTCTGATTTTGTTAGGCAAATGAAGTAACCTGTTCTTCTAAATCATCATGAAAGGAAAGTCCTCAGGAATTATCTCAGATTTTTCAGTCTACTCTGTTTATATTTCTGTTCTTTCAAGTGACTTGCTAGGCTAGATTTTTTTCTTATAAATACCTGTTCCTTCCTCTCTCCCCCTCTCATGAACCCCCTCCTGTTATCCTGTTCTCATCCTGGCCCTCGGTTTTCCCTCACCCGCAGTTCCGCAGAGCTGTCACGGCTGCACTTGCCTGTCTTTGGTGCCACCTTCGGGCAAGTGCTGGTTTGCACAGAAATACTCCAAAACTCTCCACTATAAATGCTTTGTAATCCCGGTGTGGGCTCCTCAAAAGGATTACTTGAATGATCAGTAATTCTCATACAATTATCAGATTTTCTCTGATCCCAGGCCATGCTCTTGATTATTTCCTAGGTTCCCAACCCAAAGGCACAGCTAGATTCCCAATGGAAAAACTGAATCATTTAATTTGTATTTCCACCTGTTCAGGATAAAATGCCTTTAAAATAACTTGTTCAGTTGATCTTATATCACCCAGAAAAGTTAGTTTTCACAATTTTCAATTTACCACACTGCATGAGTTTGGAATTAACATAGTCAATGTTTCTCGTAAAAATTCCTCTCTGGAAGAAATCAAGGGGATCTGAGATAGATGAGGTTTTGCATTTATTTTCATGTACCTAATTTTTGTAAGACAGCAGCTTTATGTTATAGTGATTAGAGGATAGGCTTTGTTTTAAACTTTCTCATCAC